GGTGGAAACTAATCAAGGAGAGAAGAAACTTAGAACTAAGGAGAAATTTCCTGACAGTTAAAACAATTAATAAGTGGAACAATTTGCCTCCATGTTGTGAATGTTCCAACACTGGAAGTTTATAAGAAGATGTTGGATAACCATTTGTCTGAAGTGGTGTAGTGGTGCCTAAGCAGGGGGTTGGACTAGAAGACCTCCAAGGTCCCTTCCAACTCCGTTATTCTATTCTCTATGGCAGCTCCTCAGATATTGGAAGACTGCTATCATGTCTCCCCTGGTCCTTCTCTTCATTAGACTAGCCATGCCCTGATCCTGTAACAGTCCTGCACATCTTTTAGCCAATGGTCAAATTCATTTTTATTTTTTACTACTGGTTCTGTGGGCGTGGCTTGCTGGGCGTTGCAGGATGTTGCAAAATCCCCATCCCCACTCGGGGGCCAGCCAGAGGTGGTATTTGCCGGTTCTCCAAACTACTCAAATTTTCCACTACCGGTTCTCCGGAACCTGTCAAAACCTGCTGAATTTCATTCCTGGCTTTAGCCTCCAGTCTTCTAATCATCCTGGTTGCTCTTCTTTGCCCTTTTTCTAGAGTTTCAACATCTTTTTCATAGTGTAGCCACCAAAACTGGATGCAGTATCCTAGGTGTGGTCTTAGGCTTTATAGAGTGGTATTAGCACTTCACTTGATCTTGTCTGTATCCCTCTATTAATGCAACCTGGGATTGCATTGGCTTTTCTGGCTGCCCCCCCCCCCCGCCCACTTTTGGTTCATGTTTAACTGGATGTCCACTAAGACTCCAAGATCCCTCTCACATGGGAGCAATTTCCTGACACAATTAGAACAATTGTGTTTCACAATGAGAGCAATTAATCAGTTTCCCTTCAGAAATTAGGGGTGCTCCATAACTGGAGGTATTCAGAAAGTGACTGGACAGCCATAGTATATAATCTCCTGCTTGAGAGGAGATTGGACTAGAAGACCTCCAGGGTCCCTTCTAACCCTATTATTCTATGTTCAATGGTCATCTTCAGATGCGTAGTTTCGCCTCACTGGAGAAGGCTACAGTCCTCCGAAAGCCAAGTTTGTTCAGCTCCCTGTGCCCACTTAAGATGGTGTCTTGTGTTCTCCAGCCACCATTTGTATGGCACAGCCGTAGTGCTCTCTGTTGCCACAGGTTGGTCTCAACTGCGCTCTCCTATGCTTTGCAGTGTTGATCTTGTCCATGCCCAAATCCACATCGCCGAGGGGAAGAGCCTGCCAGAGCTGGGCCTGAAGCAGGAGAACGTGCGCATCAACGGCTGTGCCATCCAGTGTCGCGTGACGACCGAGGATCCTGCTCGTGGGTTCCAGCCAGACACAGGCCGGATTGAGGTAGGAGGAGGCTGCAGTACGGGGTTTCTCTCCCCAAAATCTGTGCCATGGGGAAGATAACAGGGTGAACCGAAGGGCCCCAGGCATCGTAAAGAGGTCTCCATCTCTCATTCAGACCGGCCTTTCTGCCTTTCGTTTGAGCTGCAATTTTAATATTCAATAAAAAGGCAGACTTGAATCAGTCAGGCATAAAATCTACCCTCATAATGAGGATGGGAAGAATAATATAAATGTGCTTGATATGGTACAAGCTGTAAACTTTCCAATATCGTTAGCCAATCAAAGATGAGTTGGCAAAGGTCCCAGTCTGGCTGTGCTCACCTGCCCTGCCCTAGAGAATTCCCACTTCTGCCCAGGTGCCAGCTACTTCCTGGGTGACAGATTCTGCCAGTCTGGCTCAGCCCGGAGCACCTGGCAGCAGCACCCGCCCTCTCTGCCAGCTTTTAAACTGCACCATCGGGAGAGTGTGTGACTTTTTGAGATGTTCCCAACCCCCTGCTCTTCCTTTGACTGCAGGCTATCAGGAAATTATAAATAAAATCAATTTCTTCCTGCTTAAAGGAAGGGTGGAAGACTGAGGGATTCACATTTGTACAGAGTGGTAAAACATTAGATTTATGGGACACAGAAAAATACACCGAGCATCTTCCTAAGTCTCTGAGCAAATTTGTATCTGCACAATCTTCTGAAGCAAATGGCCGTTTACGTGTGCTCGCCTTCCAATTTCTGGAACATATAAATTGGAATTGGAGACTATTTGGGGGAATAGCAAATTCCTCCTTTCTCAGCCTCTGTCAACAGTTGTTTGTCCAGTCATCTCATCTTTTAAAACATTGCTGGGGGGGGGTTTTCTGCATTTTAGGGAGACCCTCTAACTGGAGAGGGACGCAATTAAGCTGAGTCCGGGATGGCATCAACCAGCTCTTGGCTGCTCATGAACGGGGAGTTTCGGCCCATCCAACAGTTGCTCTGGTTCTCCTCCCAATTGTATTCAGTCATTTCTGTATTTCTAGCCTTTTCCGCTCTCTTGGCCCAGCAAAGCCACACGGGGGGGGGGGGGGAGGCCTTGTGGGGGAGGCCTTGTGGG